GAATTTAAAAGCTTTTTTCAAGATGAAAATCTGATTAATAAGCTCCACGATATAACTGGCACCAAAAATTACTGGCAAGCTTCTCTGCCCCCCTTGGGCTTTTGCCATTAAAACACTGCGTTGTGCAATGAAGAGCTTCAGTTATGTAAAAGCCTTGCTATGTAGAAATGTCTCTATGTAATAGTAGATAACACTTAAACAAGCACTTTCTTGTTTTTCAAATGTTTGTACATACAGTCCTCATGAATACAAATCAAATTTGTGGTTCAGTTCAGTTTCCTTGGAAGTTTTACTAAGAGACAAGTGAGTTAGACTTACAGGCTATTGTGGGTTGCCTTTTAAATTGGGCTGGAGAGAAGCCATATCAGAAAGTTCTTATCTGATCATTGCCTTAGGAGCCTCTATGGGCTGAGACAATATAGACATTTCTCAAAGAAATAAGTCCAGACACCAGTGCTGCTCTTGGTACAACAGGAAGCATTTGGAAGTTAACTGTACGTGGGAAAACTTTTAATTTTGCTTCTGCAAATTAAACTACATTTAACTCTCCACATTCATTGGAGTTAGGGGCACATAGAATCATAGAATCATAGAATCAGAGTTGGAAGAGACCTCATGGGCCATCCAGTCCAACCCCCTGCCAAGAAGCAGGAATATTGCATTCAAATCACCCCTGACAGATGGCCATCCAGCCTCTGTTTAAAAGCTTCCAAAGAAGGAGCCTCCACCACACTCCGGGGCAAAGAGTTCCACTGCTGAACGGCTCTCACAGTCAGGAAGTTCTTCCTCATGTTCAGATGGAATCTCCTCTCTTGTAGTTTGAAGCCATTGTTCCGCGTCCTAGTCTCCAGGGAAGCAGAAAACAAGCTTGCTCCCTCCTCCCTGTGGCTTCCTCTCACATATTTATACATGGCTATCATATCCCCTCTCAGCCTTCTCTTCTTCAGGCTAAACATGCCCAGCTCGTTAAGCCGCTATGTGAAGCGGGGAAGGGGAAATGTGAAATGTTTCTTGTCTTCTAACCTGAGAAAATGCTTCTCTAGACAACATTTTTTATTGATTAGCCAGTTGGCCTTATCAAAAACAGACAGTGCAGACACAACATACAACATACATCTAGTCCTCTTAAAATAAAATACAAATATACAGATATCCATAGATATATGCATCAACTATCCTCGTCTCCCCTGCACTGCACCCCAATCTGATCTATGTACTGCTTCTCTAGACATTTCTTGGTCCTCTAATATAACTTTATGGACATCTTACACTGCAAGGTGATCATAGATTTGCACCACCTGACATCTTTCGGGAAGTAGCCAATAATGAAAGGACCAAGGCAGTGACATCTTCGGCCCATCTTCTGTTCAGCATGCCAACGCCTTAAATCAAGAAACAGCTTTCTAAGATCTACAGAGATGCTCGCAGGAACACCTCAGCAAGTAAGAATCCAAAAGTGGCAAGTCAAAACCCGGAACCTCAATCCATGGCTTAGCTGATACCGAGAAACTCCCTCCTGGGCACACAGAAGACTGGGTGACTTGGAAGGAGTTAAACAGACTGCGCTCTGGGACCACGAGATGCAGAGCCAACTTTAAGAAATGGGGCTACAAAGTGGACTCCACAACATGCGAGTGTGGAGAAGAGCAAACCACAGACCACTTACTACAATGCAGCCTGATCCCAGCCACATGCACAATTGAGGACCTTCTTACAGTGACTCCAGAGGCACTCCAAGTGGCCGGCTTCTAGTCAGAGAAAATCTAGCATAATGCCAAGTTTCTTTAAGCCGCCACGAGTCCCTTTTGGGAGATGGTGATGGGATATTGTTGTAGTTGTTGTAGTTGTTGTAGTCGTCGTAGTTATTGTTATTATTATTGTTATTATTATTATTGATTTCAAGATGAAAGGGAGCACGATTCACCATCTTATTGTTCCCTCTGGTATTTGGCCATAAAATTTAACAAAAGTCTAAACTGGAAAATACCTCTGGATCATAATTTCAAGAACAGCTCAGATGATTTGGGGTTCTAGTATTGAAATGAAGACAGATGTGGTGAACCCACCAAAATACATTGCAAAAATTGTCACCTTAAAAATATTAATTTTGGAGTAATTGCAGTAGCTGCATCGTTGAGTCTTCGCAACTGATTTTTCATTACAGTTTTCTAGAGATTTCTAATAATTTATCTGTACTATTTACAGTAGCAATAAGAATTGATGGGTTGATTGCTTAATAGATTTGAATTGTCTACATATAAAGTGCTCAGAACTCTTGTGCAAAAAAAATCTTTTGGTTCAAGATTTTAAAAATGATCAAAAAATAGGGGACTAAATAAAAAGATAAAAGAAGGATATATATTCATTCTGAAAAAATAGACAAAATGGTTGCCAATTATACACAGAAAAATAAAAATTTAGCAAATGTGTGATCAAAGACTCTTTGGCCTTCACTGGTTTGTTACATTTGCAATTAATCGTGTAGTATAATATGTTTTTGTCATATTTAAACCATAAAATACTTCCCACATTTTAAAATGTATGACATTAATTGCAAATCATAAAAAGAATACTTTAATTTTACGTGACTAATTTAAAAATAATTACAGCTTCTAGTATAGCACCTTTTAAAAATTATGTTTTGACTATTAAAAGAAACATTTGTCAGACAGTTGTTTTCTGCTTCCTTGCTAGTGTTTTTCCGGGAGTTTTGAGCATGTGGGTGAGACTCTTCTCTCCTCTTCATGTGTACTTCTCAGGCCCAGTACTGTGTTTGCTACACAGCCGACAGTGAAACTCCTTGAGATTTGATGCTGATGCTGCAGCATTGGGAGTAACATTTAATATCTATCTGCTGTCACTTTTTTCACATTTTTCTTAGAGGACAAGAAATCTTGGACATTTCCCTTAACGGATTGTCTATCTCATCTAATCTAGACATCCACCCCTGTCAATCTAATCTTCCTACCATGGTATTTACACAGTTCACTTATTAGCAGTGTTTTGCGTTGCTATAGCTTCCTGAGCACTTCATGGACGTTCTTAATTTTTAGATCTGTGAAATCTCAAGTTACAGCAGTCCTTGACATGAATGGTTCAAGTTGCCTGTAGACAAGGCTGGATTAAGTTGCTGAGGAGTTAACACCTTTAGGGGCTTCATTGACACAAATGCTTTTTTAAAAAGACATCCAGATTTGTTTTGTTTATATTTTGTTGACATCTGAGGCTGTAATGCAATGGATAAGCATAAAGTTGCTTCACTAATGTCATTGTGATTGTGCTTATCGTAATTTTATATTGTTATGTATTCACATGTTTTATGTAATTATGATGTTGTTTATTGTTCGCGTTTTCGGTTTGCATTTTTGGTTTTACTCTGTTGTAATTTGTTGTTTGGGCTTGGCCTCATGTAAGCCACTCCGAGTTCCCATCGGGGAGATGGTGGCGGGGTATAAATAAAGATTGTTGTTGTTGTTGTTGTTGTTGTTGTTGTAATGTGTCAGTGTGTCTAGTAACTTCGAAATGAAATTCTCCTGACATTGTGATTAGAATTTTTCAAGTTTTATTCCACTGTTGTTGATCTTAAGGATTTCTTTCTTTTTTTTATATATAATCTTTATTCAGTTTTTCAAATAAAACAGTTAAAATATAGTTTTGTAGCAGGGGCTACCAATAAGAGAGATATAGAGTATGTGTATGTCAGTTCCCCGGAATATGAAATGATAAAGTGACTAAAAGATAGTAGAATAGATAGCAATAAAGATAATGAAATAGGGAGAGAAAGAAAAGATAAAGAAAAGATATAAAGCCCAAAAGCCCCAGATAAAAACAGCGATAACAAAAGAAGAATAGATTCTTGCTTTTGACTTCCCGAGGTTTTCATAGGGTCTTCTCTGTCGTTCGTCTACCCTCCTTCTCCTCTTCTTCCCTTTCTTCTCTCCTCGTCTTCTTTCTCCTCCTCTTCCTTCCCTCCAGCTCTTCTTCAGTTATGTCAGGATCTTTTTGTTCCTTTGTTTGAAATAATCCATCACCTTTTCCCAGTTTGTTTCCTTCATTTTTATTCCTTTGCTTCTTGTTATTAGAAAGGTGAGCCGGTCCATATTTCTTACTTCCAAAATTTTTGTCAGTCTCTCATTTTCGTCTGGAATATCTTCCTGCTTCCATCTTCTAGCATAAGTTATCCTTGCTGCTGTTGTTATCATAAACAAGATCTTATCAATATTCTTTTCTATTTTCAAATCGTGGATCCCTAGAAGAAATAATTCTGGTTTCCATGGTATTTTGATTTGTAGCATTTCTTGTAATTCTTTTTGGACTTCCCTCCAATATTTTTTAGCCTTTTTACAGGTCCACCATGTATGGAAATACGAGCCTTCTTTTTCTTTACATTTCCAGCACCTTGTGCTGGTGCTGGTACTACTATTGCTCGCCCCCAATTTTTTCGGCATTATATACCATCGATGCGCCGTCTTAAGCCAATTTTCTTTCATATCAGTGGCATAGCAGTATCTTAGCTTTCCTCTCCAGATTTCTTCCCATTCCTCTTGCTTAATATTTCTTCCAATATTTTCGTTCCACCTTTTTTTGTAGTTTTTTTGGTAGTTTTTTGTAGTTTTTTTCTTTCTTTCTTAAAAGTTGCCCCAAGTAGTGTAACATTTTTTCCAGCACTACATTGAGAAATCCCAATGGGTTTCAAGCACTGCAGTTAACAACAAAGCAAATTTTAAATTACTTTTTAAAAGGAGCTCTTAAGCTCTCTCTATTACATCTTAATTGGTGGAAGGCATGCATTTCATCAGTTCTACCATGTTACCATGTTACATCAGAGTTGATCCATTGGTAATTCTGGTGTGTGTCTTCATAGTAAGTGACTTGTATATGATGTATATGATGAAACTTTTTGCTAACAATCAGAATCAATTTCGAATGTAGCATCATTTTAAAAAACCTAGTTGGTAATTCATTTCTCATTCTCTCTCTTCCTTCCCTGCTTCTTATAGGTTCACCTTTTCTAGCCAATGAGGATGGTGTTCTTGGAGGAGTTATAGTTCTTCGATCTTGTAGGTGCCCTCCAGAGCCCAACTCTTCACAGGAAAAGCAGCCCCTACTTGGTAAGAATGTGAAGAAAGATGCCTGTTTATGCCGCATGTATTTTTATTATTCAAATCAATTTTACTTTGTTTTCAAATAAAAAGAAAAAAATAACTCATAAACAATTTTTAAAATGGAAAAAAAGACGGAAAAGATGGGAAATATCACAGGGTGTGGTATGTAAGTTATGAAGCCATGTTTATTTATTTATTTACTTACTTACTTTATTTTTATACCGCCCTTCTCAGCCTTCCAGCGACTCGAGGCGGTTTACAAGGCAAAATTCAATGCCACAAAAACGCAGTACAATTTTTAAAAAACATTAACAGCAATAAAACCAAAGCTACAGCAGTAAAAACATATGGCAATAAATCCTCAATGAAAAAACATCATCCAATTCCATCATATAATCGTTTTCCTATGTCCATTACACAATATTTGCAAATGCTTGCTCAAATAGCCATGTCTTAAGTGTTTTCTGAAACATTAGGAGCAATGAAGCCGATCTAATATCCTTGGGGGGGGGGGCGTTCCATAGCCGAGGGGCCACCACTGAGAAGGCCCTGTCTCTCGTCCCTGCGAAACGTACTTGTGACGAAGGTGGGAGCGAGAGCAGGGCCTCCCCAGACGATCTTAACATCCTCGGTTCGTAAGAGGAGATACGTTCAGGCAGGTAAATTGGTAAGTTAAATAGTTCTATACATGAGTCTAATAGTGTCAAAGACATAGAGGGGCAGGGAGTATCTTTATACATATTCTCTAGTATAGGGAGGAAGTAAGTAAAAGAAAAACATGGCAATGTGAATTATTATTATCATCATCATTATTAATATCCCACTTTTTCTCTCTTAGAAGAGACTCAAAGCAGATAACAATATTATAAAATAGAATAAAAATTAAAATGTACTATTTAAACCCAAAACGTATAAACATTAAAATATAATTAAACAGGATTAAAAATGAATAGTTTAAATATTTAAAATCTATTAAAATACATAAACACCAATCATCATCCTCTGTCTCAGTCTTAAAATGTGTTCTCTATATTTGTATTCCACTGTGTACGTTTCTGTGCTGCATATGCTTCATAGGCTTAAACTTATTCCAGATTATATAAAAAGAAGAGAGGAGCTAAAATGGGAACAGAGCATTTTGTGAACAGTTTCCATCTCTTGATTTTTGCCTATTGGCTGAGTTTTCATGGAGATCTAAGGGGTAAAAATGATCATCACTGAGCATTCTTGTTTTCCTAATGTTTATACTTCCATTTACATATCATCTGGTAAATAAAGGATTGTTGTTGTGTCCAAATCTATAGTCGAGTTCCTGTGGAGCCATACAACAGAGAGCATGTGTGTGGGATATATGTCAGCACAGGATGGCAAAGCCAAGGTAAGTGTCAAATTTGGAATAAGAGCAGTAATAATTTTTAAAAATAGTAATACTGGTTTCCTTCCCTATTCAAAGGGCTTACACATAAAGAACCAGCTTACATCATGGCTAAGCTATGATTTGGTGATCACAAGGGTGCAGTTTCTTGGTGTTCTCATGGACCATGGCACCTTCCAAGCTGCCAAACCAGGCTGGAACGGGGCTGTTTTCTAGTGTTGTAATACACAATAGAGAATGAACAGTGCCCTTCAGCTATTCCATGCAAAGATCATTCCTTTTTGCTCTTGCCACTTGATCAGGGTGAAAGTTGCATGAGAGCGCTGACCAAAAATATGTTTTGGATCAGAGGGAAGAAATAAGATTGGAAGCAAATATAAAAACCAGTGATACTGAGGTCAAAAGTGTTAGGAAGGAATGGGATTGATAGTGGGAAAATTAAGAAAAGCCAGAAAAAGCTTTCTTGTGAATTCCCTAGATACAGTTTCAAGCATGGTGGTTGCAGTAGGTTTCTTACAGTGGTTCTCAATCTGTGGGTCCTTTTGGCCTTCAACTCCCAGAAATGCTAACAGCTGTTAAACTGGCTGGGATTTCTGGAAGTTGTAGGCCAAAACACCTAGGGACCCACAGGCTGAAAACCACTATTTTAGAAGATCAGATATGTAAGATAAAGCACTGCTGAAGTTGCAATTTTGACACACTGTGGTCTGAAGTTAATTGCATTGTAAGCCAGGTTTGTTTTGGCTGAGTTGCTAATTATTCTGGACTTGTGTTGCACTATTTAACATGAACCCAGAAAGAGAAGCTTGGCTTCAGTTCTTTTACTCCATTTCACTCTTGGGATCCAGTTTCTTTTTTGTCTAGGCATCTTTACTTCAAGGAAAACAGTAGAATTCATATTTTCAAATTGGGCAAGCATGTGAGAAGAGATAGAAATGCTCCCACTATATTGCTAGGTGGGTTCAGCGTTAGATTGGTTGTAATGTTGTTCCAAAATTTGTGTAGCACTTGTGTTGATCTAGCTTGTGAAGCCTTGGTGTAATGTAAAGTTCAGCACTCTGTTCAGGGATCTTTCCCTACATACAGATCTTTCGTTGGACATCTGGTACACATTGCTTTCATGCTGCGGGCAAATTCTCCAGCTGGCAATCTTGAGAGAGCCAACAGGCACAGCTGCTCTTCTTGCTTCACTTTTTAAGTTGTGACCTTCCTCTAGGAGAGTTAATCCCTCTCTTCTCTTTCCTTTTGAGCCTGTAGCTGCAAATACTTTCCTGAAACTAATCCCAAATGCAGTGGCTGCTCACTGCTAATAATCGTGATAGAAGATGCTCTTGAAAAACATCGAATTCTGTAGTCCTGGAAATTGACACTAACTAAAAGTTAGCAAAGGGTTCTTATTCCAGAAGGAAAGGAGAGGGGGGAATTAATTGGAAATAGATAATAAAATCCAAAACACTGTGGAGAAAGAAAGAAAGAAAGGGTCCAAGTTATAAAACTTCCAATTTCAAGGACCAAGAAAAATGTAGTAGCTGCGTACAATGTTCCTTTTTCTGAAGTGTACTGAATGGTGCGTTGTTGAAGGCTTCCATGGTTGGAATCACTGGGTTGCTGTGTGTTTTCCAAGCTGTATGGCCATGTTCCAGAAGCGTTCTCTCCTGACGTTTCGCCCACATCTATGGCAGGCATCCTCAGAGGTTGTGAACCGTTTTGGGGTTTTTTTTTGGGAATGCTGTAAGTTTTAGTTTATTCTCAAAGGTCCGTGGGCAGATTTACTTTTTAATTGCCCTTAACTCTACAAACATAGTTTTATGAGCATACATGCTGGTATACTTTTGGCTAGTTCATTTATAATCAGTATCAAATGCAGTCATAAGCAATTAAAAAAATATCCTGTAAAAAGAGATACTTAACAACTTTGCTTTCTTTTCTGCGGAGTAGCTTATTGGAGATTATGAAAATCATTTGCTTCCTCGTGAGGCTCCATCTTTTAATGATCTAGCAGATTAAATGGAAAAAATGAAAAAAGCATTTTATTTTGCTTATAAAATGTTTGGGACTCCACCTCCCAGAATCCCTGATCACTGACCAAGGCACCTGAAGTCCCAAACACCTGGAGTTTGGGAATCATTTTCATTGCTCCCAAGAATGTCACAATGCTCCTTAAAGAATGTCACAATTATTCCCAGCAATTATTTTTAAAATGCCATTTTCACCTGTAATCAATAGGTATTGAAATACAGAGCAGCAATTGCAGTTTCTGAATCCTTTTAAAATAAATTGCAGTACCCATTTCTGGAGAATCTGAAGGTATGGATGACAGTGATCGCTATGGTTTAGGATAGGAAGGGAAGGAGGGAGGGAGGGAGAAAGAGGGAGTTAAGGAAGGGAGGGAAAGAGGAAGGAAAGAGAGAGGTAAGCAAGGATAGGATAGTGAGAGAGAGGAGGGCCTGAGAAAAGAGCCCAAGGGGTCGCATCCGGCCCCTGACCCTGGGTTACCCATACCTGCCCTAGGTGATAGCAACCTGAATAGCTCATGTTTGAGTGTTTTATATAACATGAACAGGAGATGGAGAAAGAAATTACTGCATTTCTGAAGGTGTTTCCCTTCTGAGAGCTAAGAATTTCTTTCACTCATATAAGTGGCACAGTAGTTGTTTAATTTTCTATCTCAGCCAGTTCCTAGACAGTTCTAGATGTGCTAGAACTAAAATATTCAGCTGTGTCTTGATTTGAAAATGTAGTGTAATATTTGTACTTAATGTCATATTTGGTCTTGACAAAAATCTTTCCTTCCTCAACATTTACTTAGACTAGAGTGGGTGCACTGTTCTAAAATGTCGCATGTCTGAAAAACAATCTAGAAACTTTTGTGGTAAAACAAGCATTAAGTTGTACAACATGATTTTGTAGATAGAATTGTACTTTTATTTGGATACGTGCCTTCAAGAATTGGATTTTTCTTTGGCATGTCTTCCCAGAAATTGCTGTCTTTACATTTGACTGACCTCCTAACAGCAGAAACAGTGGAGCAGACAGTTTATCCATTGGCACTTGTTGCTTTCTGGGAAGCCTTAATAGAAAAGGACAAGAGTTGCCTGACCATCAATGGCTCATGACCAATGTTTCAATTAAATGAAATAGTGGCTTGCTGAGCTTGTAACTACTCACCCTTTTCCATCAACTGTATTTAGTCTGTCTTAAAATACACTTTTGAGGAGGAAGATGGGAAATGGCTGGTTGGGAGGAAACAACCTATTTGCCTGTGGAAATGTTATTTTGGGCCACGGTTCAGAACAACTCTCATTCATGCCATTTCTGTCTTTCAGTGTGATGCTTCCTAAAATTAGTACAGCGTTTCTTTGAAAACAGTATTCAAAGAGACAAGTAGAAGAAATCTGATTCAGATCTTCTTGGAGATTACAGAGAGACTTCAGCAAGTGCCTGAGGGAAGCATTTGTGGTGCAGCCTCAGTGTGGGTTCACGCACGGGTGGTAGGAATGCAAGTACTTATTATTGTGGGGTGGGCTCTTTCCTCCCTCCTCCCTCCCCCTACCTTTAGCGTTTGACAAGGCTGCCAGCAGTAGGATGGTAATCACTTGGTGTACACTGTGTGTTTGCTGATAGACCTAACTTAGCTGCATCTAACCTTTGACGCTTTTTGTCTAATTGTAAACATGTTTATTCTGCAAGAAGCCCCACTGTTTGCAATAGTGCTTATTTCCAAGTAGCTGTGATTAGGGCTGTAGCCATAGTGTGGGCTTAAATAATCGCTTTTGCTATTTGAAAATTAGATGGATCTCTTAAGGCTTTTTAAAGGATTCATGGCCAGAATAATATTTTGTATCATGATACAAAATATTTTTTTCTCTGTTCTTTTTTCTGCTCCTGAAGAAGGACACAACTTTCTTCATGCTTCACAGTAGTAGTAGTAGTAGTAGTAGTAGTAGTAGTAATAATAATAATAATAATAATAATAATAATAATAATAATAATAAACAAAACTTTATTTATACCCCTCCACCATCTCCCCAAGGGGACTCAGACCGACTTCCATGAGGTCAAGCCCGACAACACATCAATAAAACAAAAAAACAATAAGCAAAAAACAATACAATTAATATAACTCACATATAAACAGTAACACGCAAGGATTTTAAAAAGTGCTGTGATAGGATTTCATTTTTCGTTAACACCTATAGAAGAATGGCTAGTATGCAGAGAACACAATTGCCAGTGTAGAGATATTGGGATCCACATTAATAACAGTYTAAATTTCTAGCTAACAACAACAACAACAACTTTATATTTGTACCCCACCTCCATCTCCCCRAAGGTACTCTGGGCGGCTTACATGGGGACAAGCCCGATCAACATAGTTAAAATAACACATTAAAATTCAAAAARCAGCAACATAAARCAAAATAAAATAAAAACAAATAAACAAGAGCATAACACAATATAAAAACAACCATCACAAACAAATAGCAAAACAATTAGAATAAATTTCATCAAAGAGAATTTATATTTTATGTCAGTCTTGTTGTTCACTGCAATCAAGTTGATTTTCACTTATGGCAGCCCTATGAATGAGAGACTTCCAAGTCCTCCTGCCCTCAGCCCTTTAGTAATACTGGTTAGATGCACCAAACTCAATTTCCATCTTTTTCCTCGCTTTTTGAATACATGGCATGAAACCTGAAATCTTTCCCTAGGCCTGGCTTCACAGTTCAGCTCCAAAGGTATCAGTGTTTGCAACAGATGCTGTTTGTAACAGATGTGTTTGCAACAGATGCTGGAGTAACCTCCTTGCACACCAACACAAAATACTTGAGACCACTGACTAATTCAGCAAACAGTTTCCAAGGGTGAGATGCAAAATCCTACAGTTCTCAAAGAAATTGCTTTAACGGGGCCGAGACACCTAATTTTACCACAGAAAAAAGGAAAACGTATTGACTTGAGTATAAGCCAAGGGTGGGAAATGCAGCAGCTACTGATAAATTTCAAAATAAAAATAGATACCAATAAAATTACATTAATTGAGGCATCAGTAGATTAAATGTTTTTGAATATTTACATAAAACTGTAATTTAAGATATAACTGTCCAACTCTGATTAAATCATTATTCTAACTTTCTTCAATGTAAATGTGCTTACGTACCCTTCCAATAATAATAGAGTGCAATAATAAATAGAGTAAAATAATAAATGTAAAAAATAATAACAATAGAGTAAAATAATAAATGTAGTAACAACAACAACAGAGTAAAATAATAAATAACTTTGACTCAAGTACTGTATAAGCCGAGGGGGTGTTTTCAGCCTTAAAAAGAGCTGAAAAACTTGGCTTATACTCGAGTATATACGGTACTTGAAAAACCAAAAAATTGTCTATATGGTGGCTGAAATAGTAATACCTTGGCTTTCTCGTGGTTCGGTGTACACAAACATTGTTCCAAGCACAAAATTATTACAAATGTGATGTTTAAAATTACCTCCAGGGTATGTGCATAAGGTGTATATGAAACATAAAGGAATTTCAGGCTTAGACTTGGGACCCATCCCCAAAATAGCCCATTGCGTACATATATCTGAAAATCTGAAATTCCAAACACTTCTTGTCCCAAGTACCTTCCTTTGATGCGAGCTATATGCTAAGTTCTGAAGCTTCAGTTACGATTGATGTGTGCCTTTCTCCTCCCCTCTCTTATACATGGCCAAGAAAAGGAAAAAAATTGGTATTTTGCAGGCAGGCTCCATGAACTACACTCCTACGTACTGTATTTCTAGGGCCAAATACTTTTGCCTTTCCTCACTGGGGTGAATCAGTGGTAAGTTGTCTCCCTTGTGCAACCTTTTGGAGGAGGAAGATCAGATTCTGTGATGCAGAGTTTATCTGGTGACAGGATAAACTATGCGTAGCTCAGTGTATGCTCTGTCTAGAAAAGAGAAACAGAAATAGAAATTGTTTCTTGGATTAATACGATCCAAAAATACAATTGTGCCATGTTATAATCATTTTTGTATAGGTTGTATATAATTTTTTTTGGTCATTTATGTTATTCATCTGTTAAATACCAAAACCACCAATTAAAACCCCACTTACCTTAGTTCTTTTGATTCAGTGGATCTATTCTCGTTTGCATTGGCAGCAGAATTCATGCCCCCATTTTCTGGCCTCAGTAACTGTTGCATTGACTGCTCTCTTTTGGGATAGAACTGGAAAACACCTCTCTATCTGCTGCTGCTCTAGTAGCTAGTCAGTCTTCAAATGAGCTCACTATTTTAGATCCCAGATTTTCTGTTTATCCCAGATTATCTGGTGGTGCAGACTCATATAATCCAGTTTAAAGCAGAAAACCTGGGATCAGATCCTGAGATATAGGGCCTGTCTGGAAGGGCCCTAACTCTCTCCCAGTTTGAAAACATGCAAATATGAGTAGATCAATAGGTACTGCTTCAGCGGGAAGATGATGTTGCTCCATGCAATCATTACCTTGGAGGTGTCTACGGACAACGCCAGCTCTTTGGCTTAGAAATGGAGGTGAGCACCACCCTCCAGGGTCAGACACAACTAGACTTCATGACAGGGGAAACCTTTATCTTTACCTATACATTGTGGTTGGTTGCATTTTTTTCAATTATACAATTTAAACACTTTGTGCTTGCATGATTTTCTCCGTCTACATATGCCTGAATCTTTTAAAATGCAGTGTCTTTTTCATTTTTTTCATCCTCATTCTCTGCTGGTATTTATAGTTTTGTAAAACATGTTAAAATGACCACATTTTAGTCAGTAAAGTATGAGAAAGTACGGTTTTTTTTTGTCCTGTTCCAAACCTCCTCCTGGTGACATTGTGCCAGCTTTCAATAATGTTACTGGCATTCGTTTGTCCAGGAATGCTTTGTTGTTTGGCTATAAATATTCTGTCCAAACACAAAGTCTTTGTGTAGTAAACAAATGTCAGAAAATATGGAGAATGTGGGGTTTGCATTACTGGCAAGTGGCAACTGATCTGTTGAAATGCCCATGTACTCTTTTTCATGCTGCGCTTCCATTGTTATAATTTAATTTCTGTGTGACCACATCATTTAACTCTGTGTTTACAGCATCGGCAAATGAGTCAAAAAGTATTTACAATTAATATCCTTGTTTTTAAAATTAAAAAGGCCCCGGGCCTCATTTTGAAGATGCTGGTGGGAACTTTTGATTTCAAGAGTTTGGTATTCCATTATGTATTCATTCAAGCACAGTTTTCTCAAAAACAATGTGGCTGCTTTGAAACATGGCAACACTTAATTCTTACTGCTTTTAAGTAACGTAATGGATTTGTGAGTGCAGCGCTATTCTTTGTGTTCTCACATGGTCTAACAAATTTAAGTTAAGGGTGGGTTTTGCAAGCAGTCTTAGCCACTGCTTCTGCAACTTGGGTCCCAACCCCACAAAAATGAAAATCATCCTGTTTAGCGAGCCTTCTAGATGCTGGTTTATTATCAGTAAATGCTTGATTTTCAAATCTATTTTATATACCTATATATCTGGGATCACCTAATAATTTCTGAGGCAGAAAGGGGTCTTGAGGGGAAAAGATTTAAGAAGCCCTGGTCTTAGGTTCACAAATAGTCCTTCCCGCATAGATTTTGAGCATCCTGAGTGTAGTGTTGTTGTTATTTACTTTATTTATACCCAGCCTTTCTCCTGATAGGGACTAAAGGAAGCTAACAACCACACAGCAAAGGAAATACATGACTGTTCCTGGAGGGAAGGGGGAAAGGGGAGGTGAAAACAATGGAAAAGGGATGGATATAAGTAGGGGATGAGGCCGATTATATATGAAGTGTGTGTGTGTGTGTGTGTGTATACACATACTGTATACATCGTCTATGTTATCTTCTAAACTTCCTCATGAGAAAATGTGGTTATGTTATACTCTACTTGTTTGATCGCCCAAAAAACAACCACACAATCTGATCAGAATTTAAAACAAAGCAAATACAAAAGTTTAAAAACAATTAAATAGTACTGAGTAGATTTAGGTTAAAATACAGTTAAATTCGCATTAAAACTGTGTTTAAAACTCACAGTCTTCCGCCCCAATGTACCACCTACAACCTCCTCAGCAGCATGCCCCTTCTTCTTCCCCAAATGTCTGCTGGCAGAGAAAGGTGTTGACCTGCTTGCAAAAGACCAGCAGGGATGGGGCCATCCTGCTCTCAGCCTGGAAGTAGTCACTGAAAAGGTTTTCTCCTATGTTCCCACCAAGTACACTTGAGCGGGTGGTGGGGAAGAGAAACGGCCTCTCCAGTAGATTGTAAATGTCTCCCAGGTTCATTGAAAGAAATACGGTCCTTTGGATAACCTGGACTGGAGCCATGTAGGACTTTGTAGGTCAAACCCAGCACTTTGAATTGTGCTTGAAAATCCAGTGACGCTGTCGCAACAGAGGAGTTATATGCTCCCTATAGCCAGCCTAAGTTAGCAGTCTGGCTGCTGCCCTTTTGACCAACTGAAGTTTCTGAGCACTTTTCAAGGCAGCCCCATGTAGAGCACATTACAGTAGTCCAACTGGGATGTAACCAAGGTATGTACCACTGTGGCTTGATTGGACTTCTCCAGGAATGGGCGCAGTTGGCACACTAGCTTTAAACTGTGCAAAAAGCAGTCCTGGTCTCGCTGGAATGGGACCTGGGTCTCCTGATTCAGAGCCGAATCCAGGAGTGCTCCCAAACTGTGAACCTGTGTTTGCAGAGGCAGTGTAACCCCATCAAACACAGGCTGATTCCCTATTTCCAGATCCATGTTATGACTGACTAGGTGTACCTCTGTCTTGTCTGGATAAAGCTTTAATTTGTTTTCCTTCATCCAATCCGTTACAGCTGCCAGGAATGGGTTTAACACAAGAACTGCTTCCTTGGAATTAGGTGGAAAGGAGTGATACAGTTGGGTGTCATCTGCATATAGATAGCACCCCACTCCAAATGTTGAACAACATGAGGGAAGGAACTCAGCTCTGAAGGACCCCATAGGCCAGTAGCCAAGGAGTGAAACAGGAGTCTCGCAGCACCACCTTCTGAGACCATCCCTCCAGGAAAGGAGGGAGTCACTGTAAAATATTGCCTTCAAGTCCCATTCCAGCTAGACATCCCAGAAGGATACCATGGTTAATGGTATCAAAAGCACTGAAAGATCCAGGAGAACCAACATAGACACACTCCCCCTGTTCAGTTCTCTGCATAGGTCACTCACTAAGGTAACCAGAACTGTCTCAATCCCAAAACCAAGCCTGAAACCAGACTGAAATGGATCTATATTAGTGGTTCTCAACCTGTGGGTCCCCAGATGTTTTGGCCTTCAATTACCAGAAATCCTAACAGGTAGTAAACTGGCTGGGATTTCTGGGAGTTATAGGCCAAAGCACCTAGGGGCCCACAGGTTGAGAACCAATGATCTATATAATCCGCTTCATCCAGGAACCCTTGGCGTTACAGACTCCAAAATAAAACGACCACAGTAAACATATGTTGCAAATCCTTTGAAGTATTTATGTGGCATTTTTCTAGTACAAATTCCCATTTTAAGCCATCGTAATATTGTTACAGCTCACTTAATTATCACTGTAACGTACTGTCTTGGACATTTCTCTTTTTCAGTTACATTCGCACCTAAGTGACTGTTAAATGAATGAGAAATCTGCATCATGTTCCTCTTGAAAGTTTATTCCCAGAAAAGTAGAGGCAGCCCCCACCTCTGCTTTTTATGTTGCCTTTTTCTTGGATTTCTGCATTTTGGGTTTCTTCCTCAATTCTCGCCACTTTTCTCTGCAGACCCACATTTCCAGGCTTCCCCCAGGAGCCGTGGCGGGGCAGTCGGTTGCCATCGAAGGAGGGGTTTGTCGGCTGGAGAGCCCAGCGAGCTGAACTGCTTCTCTTCTGCTCAGCAAGGGGAGCGCAAAGGACGTTGTGTCTCATACGGTCTTTTGTGTTTTAACAGATGTTGAGAATTTTACTCTCGTTTTATATTCCTTATTGCAACCACGTGCACTGTAACCTGAAACAAGTGCTGCTGTAGCTTTATATTAATTCACTTTGTTTGAATGTATATGAAAACTCGTCTCTTTGTGGAATAGGAGCTCTGTTCCCAGTTGTGCACATGAAGATAATGTACCGATAATTTAACATTTTGAAACATTTTTATTTCTTAATTGATTATCCTACGATGAGAATGCCCAGAAATTGCAACAAGAAATGGTTAAAATTGTGTTGTATGCCATAGTAAATGTATTTGTTTCATATTGGGGGGAAAAGTACAGGTTTGAGGGCTAACTGGAATCCAAAAGTGATTGAATGCGCTTTCTGTTATTTAATGATTTCAGTGATATTGTCGACATGCTATCTTTTTCCAGACTAGGGCTTATTTTTTTAAATTTCAACAAAGAGTGGTGCATTTCAATGAAATAGTCAAGAGCAGGATTATGGCCTGACCTTTTTAAAAATTAATTATTCAGTTGGTGGTACTTTTCCTGGCTTACATGTTATATAGCTTCAAGCTGTTATGTATTACGGATGACTCCGTAAAGATAATGTAGAGAGTCATGAATAGTCTTTGCTTTGTGTATAATGAACTATTGGAATGTAAATAAGAACAAAGTTTATTGGAAGAATCAATATTATTCTTTGGTTTAAATATATATTTTGAGAGAATGCTGTGGGAATAAACAAGCTGTTATTGGACAAATAATGCAATCTATTAAATTGATGGCAGAGAGAATCCTCGTTTTAGCTTTTTGCTTTAGTTCATTAAGTCCCAGATTTTCAGTGACCATGTATTAATGTTTGCAATTCAATTTATATGTTATGCATGCAGAGTTGCAAGTGGCCTTTTCAACGTTTATACAGGAGAGATCAATGATACACAATTAATGTACTTCCTTTGTCGTAGGTGTGCTTTTTTTCCCTTTGGACTTTTTCAGGGTTGATGTTTACAGGGATATGACTATAGAACAATCTTGTTGAATTCTTTGTGAACCGATCTGTTGGAACGGAGTAAGAGAACATTGAGGTTTATTTTCTCCCCGTCTTGTGTTGAGAAGTGATGTATACCTCCTTTTAAAAAATACTTGCAAAATATCTTCAAAAATATTTATAATTATACAATCAATTTATCTTCTCTAGTTATTGTTTTCACCAGAAATGAATGGAAAATGCTTCAAGGCTTTGCACATTCTCCTTGGTGTAGAAAAAGCAACCTCTCATGGCCAACCCCATTTAGCAGTCTTTTATATTATCGAAGGCTTTCATGACCGGAATCACTGCGTTGTTGTAGGTTTTCCGGGCTATATGGCCATGTTCTAGAGGCATTTTCTCCTGACGTCAGGAGAAAATGCCTCTAGAACATGGCCATATAGCCCGGTAAACCTACAACAACCCAGTCTTTTCTATCTATTGATCTTCAGTCCTTCCAAAGTACAATCTCCACTAATTTGGGAAGGCTGTGAGTTGTTCTCACCTTGGCTGAATTAGCTTGTGTGTAAACCTTCAGCACTGGGATCATTTGAACCACATTCACTGCAGCTGAGCCACTGAGCTCAGAAGGCTCCTGCTCCTCCAGGTTTGAGAAGATGCAGAACTTTGCACCACTGATTTGTCAAGTCTGGTGTCAAACATCAAGGTAACATTCGCGTTTTAAATCAAGTGTAACCTGTGTTGATTGCTCCCTTTCATGTCAGTTTTAAGGCTTGCTTCCCTCCTCTGTAACAATGGTCATGTCTACTCCCCTCTTCCTGTTCTACCACTCTCAAAGTGGGGCAGTCTTCTCCTTCTGTATCTGCAAAGTTTATACATGAGGCATTGGTAAGGCACTGTACAATATATTTGTGACTTGTAGTAACCAGTTTGCACACTTTTTTGTGACACTTCAGTCAGTCCTAATAAAGGTATTGCCCAACTGTGGGTTTTGTTTCCTTTTTCGAGGACTTACAATTTTTTGGGGGAAAGGAGGATTAGCTACAGCAGCAAGATTTTGGGTTTTTAATAATAATCTATATCTATAAAAATGCTCTGTGCATAATGAGTACCTTAAAAACAAAAGAACCAATGAACGAAATCACACCAAATTTGGCAACAAAACGTCTCACAACACAAGAAATGACCATCACTCAAGAAATTATGATTTTGTCATTTGGGAGTTGTAGTTGCTGGGATTTATAGTTCACCTACAATCAAAGAGCATTCTGAACTCCACCAATGATGGAATTGAACCAAACTTGGCACACAGAACTCCCATGAGCAACAGAAAATACTGAAAGGGTTTGGTGGGCATTGACCTTGAGTTTTGGAGTTGTAGTTCACCTACATCCAGAGAGCACTGTGGACTCAAACAATGATGGATCTGGACCAAACTTGGCACAAGCACTCAATATGCCCAAATATGAGCACAGATGGAGTTTGGGGAAAATAGACCTTGACATTTAGGAGTTGTAGTCACTGGGATTCACAGTTCATCTACACTCAAAGAGCGTTCTGAACCCCAAGAATGACAGAATTGGGGCAGACTTCCCACACAGAATCCCCATGACCAACAGAAAATACTTAAGGCCATAGAGTTCAACTCCCTTCACCAGGGCAAGAAAACATAATCAAAGCCTTCCTGATAAAGAGCCATCCAGCCATAGATATAGATAAATAGATATGATTCACACACACAGAGATATAGTATCATAGATTTGAAAGGGATCCTTAAATAAGGACAATGATATCTTGCATGTTCCAGGGTGGGCAAACCAGACACTCTCTACATCAACACTGACAAAGAAACAGCAAGAAATACTGTTTACCCACAAGCATAAAGAAATTACATATATTAGAAACCAACACTTTCTCATTACTTTATTTTCCAGATCACCAGACTGGGCCACAGCAATGCGTGGCAGGGGACAGCTAATAATAATAATAATAATAATAATAATAATAATAATAATAATAATCTTTATTTGTACCCTGCTCCATCTTCCCAATGGGGACTCTGTGTGGCTTACATGAGGCCAAGCCCAAAACAACAATTACATGAAATAAAACAAAACCGAAAACGCAAATAATAAACAATAATAACGCAATTACATAAAACAAAAGACAACATAGCAATATAAAATTACAATAAACACAATCATGGTAACATGGGTGAGCTACATGTAATGGATAAAAGAAAATTGGGTAGAAACAGATCTAAAATATTTTCTAAATGCAACACAGTTCTTTATCCCCAGACTCAATTATCCATGGTTTCACACTCCTAAAAATATTCCCTCCTTGGAAGCATTTCTGGGGCCTCTGTAGCGAATTTGGCTCCCTTTAGAAAGTTAGTTAGTGACCTACCTCAAAGGGCTGGCTGGTGGGCCATTTTGTGTTGCCCAAAGAAGTAACACCAGTAGGGAAGCCATTTGCATTCGAGCGACCTGATTGGTTGTATGCAAATGAGTGGATGCTAAAATTTGAAAGGGGGCAAATGCAAGGATGAGAGTTGGAGAAGCCCAACTAAACTTTCTATGTCAGTTAGGGAGTCAGCTGGAGGCAGTCCATGACAGTCAGTCAGTGAGATAGGCTCTGGAAGGAAGTAGCTGAGGAGCAGCTGGAAAATTGGTTAAAGAATCAAGTTAGTGTGAAACCTGTTCTTATGTATTCCCATAACAGTCCTTTTGGAAGAAAAGAATAGTTTGAGAGAAACTCATATTGAAACATTCTTCTGTAAGCAGTCAGCATTTGACCCTCTGTAACCACTATGCTTATACCATAAGAATAATATAAATAAACTAAGTAATCAAGGTTGAACTCTTACTAAATTACTCAAATGAACCTGTTATACTTTGGAGATATCATGAGATTTAATGGAAAAGATAATAATGGTGTGAAAAGGTGAAGCCAGTTGGATAAGAGAAAAGTATTATGTTACACAATGCTCCTGAGTTTGCAAGACCTGAGCACTGATGATGATGATGACGACGATGACGATAGGACCACCATAAGTTAAATTTGGCTTAAGAGTGCATAACACTCATAGAATCATAGAATCAAAAGTTGGAAGAGACCTCATGGGCCATCCAGTCCAACCCCCTGCCAAGAAGCAGGAATATTGCATTCAAATCACCCCTGACAGATGGCCATCCAGCCTCTGTTTAAAAGCTTCCAAAGAAGGAGCCTCCACCACACTCCGGGGGCAGAGAGTTCCACTGCTGAACGGCTCTCACAGTCAGGAAGTTCTTCCTCATGTTCAGATGGAATCTCCTCTTTGTAGTTTGAAGCCATTGTTCCGCGTCATAGTCTCCAAGGAAGCAGAAAACAAGCTTGCTCCCTCCTCCCTGTGGCTTCCTCTCACATATTTATACATGGCTATCATATCTCCTCTCAGCCTTCTCTTCTTCAGGCTAAACATGCCCAGCTCTTAAGCCGCTCCTCATAGGGCTTGTTCTCCAGACCCTTGATCATTTTAGTCGCCTCCTCTGGACACATTCCAGCTTGTCAATATCTCTCTTGAATTGTGGTGCCCAGAATTGGACACAATATTCCAGGTGTGGTCTAACCAGAGAAGAATAGAGGGGTAGCATTACTTCCCTAGATCTAGACACTATGCTCCTATTGATGCAGGCCAAAATCCCATTGGCTTTTTTTGCCGCCACATCACATTGTTGGCTCATGTTTAACTTGTTGTCCACGAGGACTCCAAGATCATTTTCACACGTACTGCTCTACTACTACTACATGCCTCTCTTACTACTACATGCCTTCCCCAACTTGCTATAATTTCCCCTGTTCTGGAAAAGCGAAAGAGTGCCCCCCTTCATTTTCTTAACAGTGGAATAGCGACTTTTACGCTCCATAATTCAATGGCATTCCCCTTTGTCCAAAGAAACCGGAGTTCAGCATGAAAATAACAGTGGATTTAAGTCTACAAGAGGAGGAAAGATTAAATATATATTAAATGTAAAATTGGCAAGGAAATGCACAGAAGGCCCGTAATGTCAGTGTTTACTGTACTCTTAAAAAGCCCAAAGGCCAAGCCGAGGGTGGTTCTTTGTGACCAATATGTAATGAGAAATGACCACACTGGAAGGGGAAACCAGCTGCAATTGCTGAAACCATAGTGAAGCCAGTTTAAATGGAGACTATTTACTATGCTTCGGTTTGGGGGGGGGGGGGAGAGACGACAGTTTTTCTCAGGGTGGTAATTGACAGCCGCATTTTACAAGGCCCTAGAGAGACTAGCAATACAGAACATAGACATCCCCCAACTGCTTGGGGCTCCAACAATATACATGTACCTCTCAGGTTGCCTTTGATATTTCAACATTGAAATGTTATGTTCTGAAACTGCGTAGTGCAGTCATTAAAACAGCATGGTTGTGCACACATCACTTTAAATAACACCTTGTCTTCACGCACACTATGAGGTCTGTTCACAACTATATAAATGGATGGTCACTTCAAAGAAATTATTTCTTGCTGTACTTCATGAAAATAAGGTTCTTCTCCCTCCTCCCATTAAGAGGAAACCCACTGAGACCAATTTTAACTCCCCAACTTTTTCAAAGCACAAGGATAGTGTGGAAGCAGCCAAGCCAAACGGGGAATACGCTCTGAAAAGGCTCAAAGAATGAAATAGGAATTTTGCCTTTTGCAGATGCTTGTTGGAAACATGTGTCTTTCAGCCCTTCACTTGATACATAATAGGTTTGCATATATAACAGCTGAAATCATTATTTCTTTCCTGCTTCTGCCAGTGGTGCAATGGAACAGCATGTTGTTAAAATACAACATGAACCAACAGTTAAAAACACATTACATATAAACCATCAGCACCCGGTGGTGCAATGGGTTAAACCAGTGGTTCTCAACCTGGGGTCCCCAGATGTTTTTTGCTTACAACTCCCAGAAGTCCCACCCAGTTTACCAGCTTTTAGGATTTCTGGGAGTTGAAGGCCAAAAACATCTGGGGACCCCAGGTTGAGAAGCACTGGGTTAAACCCTTGTGCCAGCAGGACTGAAGACCAATAGGTCGGATGTTCGACCTCTGTCAGCTCCAGCTCCTCATGCAGGTACATGAGAGAAGCCTCCCACAAGGATGATAAAACATCAAAACATCTGGGCGTCCCCTGGGCAACGTCCTTGCAGACGGCCAGTTCTCTCACACCAGAAGCAACTTGCAGTTTCTCAAGTCGCTCCTGATATGAAAAAAATCAGTATAAAACAGTGCTTCCCAATCTTTTTTTGACCAGGGACCACTTTGACCAGGGACCACTCTCTATCATTAGTATTAAAAGGGTTACAAATCAGTTTTTGGTCAACTTTAGATTTAGTTTGGTTATTTGGGATGCTGATTCAGAAAATTGCATTGGCTAGACCACATCAGCTCTATTTTCTGATACAGAACATATGCCATCCAGTAGTTGCCATCTGCTCGCCCAAAGAAAACCATATTTAATAATCTAGAGTTTATGTGGTCTTTCCAATGTAATTTTCTGAATCAGTATCCTAAATAACCCCAGGAACAGACCTAAAAACGGTGATACCAAGGCACCACGTTTCCAGGTGCCACATGGACCTGCTCTGCTCAGGGGGAGGGAGGAGGAGGAGAAGCAGCAGCCAGGAGGCTTGTTGAGCCTTTCGTGGGTAATCAGCCTCTTCCCTCCTGACATCCCCATAGCCTTGGCACTATAAGAGGGTTTTGTGGGACCAGTCACTCTCGTTGCAACCATATTTTAGTTCTTGGGAACCACTGGTGATTCACAGACCACAGGTTGGCAACCACTGGTATAAAAGAGCAATGTGTTTAGAACAAACAGTATATCATATAAAATTCATAATTCAGAAATTATCTGGATAGGCCTGCTGTTTTAAACTCTGTATATTCCACTGTTGAGTCTTTTTCACAGGTCATTCCACAATTGGGACAGTC